CACATACGAACAAATGATGTCGCCTATCACCTTCAAATGCTAGATCACCAGATCCCTCCTATTTCTGCTCAGGCGAATCCACAACATTGTAATCCGATGTGTGTGATGTCACGTGTATCCGTCCATTTGCGGCACCCACATTAGGTGCGATACTTTGTGTATGTGTTGTCACGTGTTTGTATAGTATCACATTTATCTTCAATAATTCTTAATACCTGTTGTATCTCCAATATATTTTATATATCTTATATCTCCTATAATTCATATATCCCCATCGCAACGCGCACAATCTGCAAAAAAGTAAAAGTTCTTTTTCATTGGCCAGATTTTCGACAAGAGGATGCTCGAATAAAAAACTCCATCCCTATTCAGACTCCCAGTCCTCGATAACTGGTCACAAACTTTCACCGAACCGCGCAAAACGCGAAAAGTAGAGAAGCTTGTTCCTGATTGGTCGAACTCCTAACCAATGAAAGCTTAGATAAAAAACTCGACCTCACATTCGCATTCCTCGCCCATGATAGCCTATAGCAAAGTTTTCTCAAAATGGTTGAAAATCCGAACAATAGAAAAGCTCGTTTCTGACTGATTCATTTCTCGGCCAATGAAAGCTCAGATAAAAAATACTACCTGCAATTCGGATTTGTCACCCCAATAATCTATCGCAAAAGTATCATCAGAATGGCCGAAAATCCAAAGAACAGAAAACCCCGTTTCTGACTGGCTCGTTTTCTGATCAATGAAAGCTCAGAGAAAAAAATCCGACCTAAGATTCGGATTTCTCACCCTCAATAACCTATAGCAAAGTTTCATCAGAATGGCCGAAACCCGATGAACAGAAAAGCACGTTTTTGATTGGTCAGCTTTCCGACCAATGAAAGCTCAGATCGAAAATCTGACCTCGGATTCGGATTTTTCATCGTCGATAACCAATAGGAAAGTTTCATTAGAATAGTCGAAACCCGATGAACAGAAAAGTTCATTTGTGATTGATCCGTTTCTCGACCAATGAAAGCTCATATAAAAGATTCGACCTCTGATTCGGATTCTTCGTCCCCGATAACCTATAGCAAAGTTTCATCGGGATGGTCGAAAACTCGATGAATAGAAAAGTTCGCTTCTGATTGGTCGAAAAACCGATCAAGAAAACCTCAGATCAAAAATCCGACCTCGGATTCGGATTTCTTGCCCCCAATAACCTGTAGAAAAGTTTCATCAGAATGGTCGAAAACTTGATGAATAGAAAAGTTCGTTTCTGATTGGTCAGTTTTTCGACCAATGAAGGCTCAAATCAAAAATTCGACCTCGGATTCGAATTCTTCACCTCCGATAACCTATAGAAAAGTTCCACCAGAATGGTCGAAAACTCGATGAATAGAAAAGTTCGTTTCTGATTGGTCGGAAAATCGACCGATAAAAGCTCAGATCGAAAATCCAACCTCGGATTCGGATTTATTGCCTCAGATAACCTATAAAAAAGTTTCATCAGAATGGTCCAAAACTCGATGAATAGAAAAGCTCGTTTCTGATTGGCTTGGACAGACAAATATAGCAACATTTTTCGAATTTAAGACCCTTTCTTTCAGAAAAGGGAAAAATAACTATAATTGTATTAACAAATACTAGAATTACATATATATTTGAAATCATAGTTCGTAATTATTCAATATAAATTTATTTTATTTATATCATGTTTATTATAGGGAAAAAATTGATACCTGCATTGAATAATTAAAATGTCGCTACGTGACATTAAAAACAAACAAAACCAAACAAGTAACGCTCGTCTGTGTGACTCGCTTAACCCTCGACTGAATATTTCACTGCATCGGTAGTTGTTTATTGCTGCAGACGTTTTGTAAAAGGTAGCATCTGGCGTTTGCACATGGCTTTGTGCTGGTGTCAACATTAATGTGCACATCTGTGTCGGCGTGTACAGTGCTGTTGGTATCATTGTGATACTGCCGGCTATACCATTCGTTCATTTAATCTGTTACTCTATCAGTAACAATCAAAAGAAATCCGCGCGACTCACACTGACACAGCAATATCCTCAGACCACGAAAAAAAAATAGTATATTCGATTTGCAGAGAAAATCAACACACAAAATATATCAGTGTGACTGCAGTAAAGATGCCCTACACTTTTCGCAAACTATACTAATAATGTGTATAGTCATCAACACATAGGCTGGTAATATCACTGGCCGGTACCCCCTACGAAAATGCGTATTCAGCGGAGCTATTAGACTAAAAAGTATATTTGTTCAAACTAATATTCGGTATATGCAACTTGAATGAGGCTTCAACTCTGAATCTTTGTGGGATTAAACAATGAATTTCAAATAGCCGGGAAAAAAATTTGACAAGTTAATAGACAGACGACGTATCCATGAAGACAAAAGATCATTTAATTCATTCCATTCAAATCTACTTTTAATGATTCGATGTAAATTGTTTTATTGACGTTTTTTTCGGAAAGGTTCGATTCCGATACTGAAGACGTTCTATACACCTGTTCTCACAACTTCACTCAAATATACTTATTAGCCCTCTTGCCAGTTCTCCCTCTCATGAAAACTAGTAAGATCTAAACGGTAGAGATTCTTCCAATGGATTGGAAGTTTCTGAAGCGTTCTGTTCAAGAGATTTCTTAGGACAGCAGTAAGGCGCTCGTCGGCACCCCAGTGGGGCGCCACTCGCGACTAACTGCTGCTATGCATCGTTCTCTTCCAGTAATTATACGATCATGTAGTGTCATTTAAATTTTACTGGATTCTACGTTTGGCTAAGTTTCAAAACTGCCTATATTTATTACATGAGCAATTCAAAAGTGAAAACACTTGTGAACTATTCCTTATGCGTTTCAATCCCTTACCTAGATACTCAATCTGAGATTTCGTTGAACTTGTCGTCGAAAGAAGCTTAAGTACATTATTCCATACAAAAAATTAGCTTAATAGACCATATCTCACACAAAAAAATTGTGAAATAGGAATATGAGCTACTATATTTCACTATCAGAGTTCCGACGTCGCGCTACTCACACTTAGCTACTACCGTCTTTGATCACATATTCCCAAATGACTACTTTCTTATTCAAGGCATGACTAATCCACATTTCAACTGCTTTAAAAGCTTCTCTACTTGTAATTAAAGAGTACTACATTTCCTATATCAAGCAAGATATCTTTTAAATACATACTCGTCGTCTATCGAGTTTCTCCATGTTTATAGGAGCCCTTCTTTACATAAAGTGTCATTGGTTAAGTCTCAGTGGTGCTTTTCTAAGAACCTTGCCTGATGTTATGCAGAAATGTCGTAAAACAGATTTTGAATAAACCTAGTTTGGTGGCAGCTACTCGTTCCCCAGTCTCCCAAAAGGACGGCATTCATGGCTAGCCACTACTTCCAGCTACTTTACACTCACGAAAGGTTGATGCCATTTTCATAATCGAGCCATCGTTCCTGTTTGAAAAACTGATGAAAAGTTTGATCCGTTACAAAAAAAATTCCTCTACATTAGAAATTTTCTTTGGAAGTTTATCAGTATATAGGAATAGGACACGTTGATATAGACTTACTGATAATCTGAAATCTTCTTAATAAGTGGACACAACCGTTGTATCCTGTCAACCTAAGTAATTTTTTTGCGTAATTTGCTCTCATTCCTCAATCTTTGTTCTACAAGTACTCTAATTCCATCTTATCTTCGTATTTCTTGATTCATTACACTGCTGTCACGCATTACAAAGTACTTACAGTTTCTTAGCATCACTTCTCAGAGAACGAAAAGATTCGAAATCTGAATTTTGAAATCCAGATTTTAGATTCGGATTTTTCACCCTCGATAACCTACGGCAAAGTTCGATCAAAACAGCCAAAAGACTTAAAATAAGAAAGTTCGTTTCTGATTGGCCGATTTCTGACCAATAAAACTTTGACCAAAGAAATGGACTTCGGATTCGGAATCAGAGCCCTCGATAACCTATAGCAAAGTTCGATCGAAACGGTCAAAAGTCTCAAACTAAAAAAGTTCGTTTCTGATTGGCCGGTTGCTGGCCAATGAAACCTCGGCCAAACAAATGGACTTCTGATTCAGATTCAGGGCCCTTGATAACCTATAGCAAACTTCGATCAAAACGGTCAAAAGTCTTAAAATAAGAAAGTTCGTTTCTGATTGGCCGGTTTTCGATCAATGGAACTTTGACCAAAGAAATGGACTTCGGACTTGGAATCAGAGCCCTCGATAACCTATAGCAAAGTTCGATCGAAACGGTCAAAAGTCTCAAACTAAAAAAGTTCGTTTCTGATTGCCCGGTTGCTGACCAATGAAACCTCGGCCAAACAAATGGACTTCTGATTCAGATTCAGGGCCCTTGATAACCTATAGCAAACTTCGATCAAAACGGTCAAAAGTCTTAAAATAAGAAAGTTTGTTCCTGATTGGCCGGTTTCCGACCAATGAAATGACGGCCAAAGAAATGGGCTTCGGATTCGGATTCAGCGCCCTCAATAACCTACAAGCTATTTTTTTTATATGACCCTCCCTACAGTCGAGGAAATATGATCATTGATGTTTAAACGGATGTTCTTTTGACCTTGTGACAAGCAACAAGCAAACTATTTTTTTTCATATGACCCTCCTTTCAGTCGAGGGAATAAGAGAAAAGAAAGACAAGACAAGAGAAAACAAAACAATCAAGTTAAGTGGAGTTTTCTTTCTGATAATGACAACACAAAAGGAAGTATAGGTATATTCTGATTGCCTATTTCATTTCGAAATGAGGAAAAATTCGAACTTCAATACCTCTCGATAAGAAAACAAGATGAATCTAAATTGGATCGGGTAGTTAGAGAGAAAACACTTGCATGTATATGATGAGAACATGAGAAAAGCCAGAGGAAAGGAAAAAATAAATCCAAGAGCGCATTCTGAACCTATTCGATATACTTATATGAAGTGAGGAAGAAGCACACGGAGGCAAAGTCTGCGACAGCTACGGGCAATTATCAGCCATATAAATTTTTGTCGTTGATGAATTGGTTTGTTCGCTTTCTTCATCATCCCATAATCGAGGATCGTCACAGTCACGATAATTATTTAGATTCTGCACATAAACACGAAGTAAATTACGGCTAAGACTATCATATGTAGAATAAGCTTCAGGATTGCTCTTTAGTCCTTGTCTAATTGCTCGTTCACATTGAATAATTTGAGTTATATTAAAATAGATGAGCATTGGATGGAGGCCATCAACACACCATTTTTTAGTGTAATTATATAGTTGTACGACGAAAATATATTTGTCTGCTATATTACGAAGCAGACGACCATCACAAACTGGAACAACTCCATGTGTTGGATCAAATGATTTTAAGCTCCCTTGGCATTGGCTTGAAAGATGATTTTTATTATTCTGAATGAATGCATGACAATCTGCTGCTCCTACCATATATCGATGCATATTTCTAATATCAAACAAATAACTTCTCTGCAAAGGGCAACAAATCCATTTAGTTTTAAGTTCATTATAATATTTACGATAGGTGTCACGTGAGTTAAACAAAGAACGGTATGGTTCAAGTGTCTGTCGAATTCGACGCATGTCCGTCTTTATTTTAGTCCTTGTCATTATTTTCTGTTGATCGATTGAGTTGTTCGTTGAATAAGCGAATGGTAACTTACCATCGGAACATATGAAAAAGCTAACAAATGCTATAATGATTGAAACACAACCATATGATGTCATTGTAATCCGCAGATGGAAAAATGAGAAGAAACAATAATAGATATGTTGCCCTGTGGGATACGATAGTAGGTAAAGAGTTAGCGACAAATATTAT